GCTAATCTTCGAAATGCTGAATTTCTTTATAGATTTCCTTTCCTCGGAATCATATTAGTATTAGAAAGAATCTGCGCAGCTCATCATCAACGATAGCCAGATATTTGACGCAGCAAAATTTTACCTGGAAAAAGACTTGTGGGGCGATTAAGCCTAGAAGCGCTAAAGCATAATATGATTTGCCAGAAGCTAGAAGATAGCCTACAACAAATAGCATATGCCACAATGAGAAAATTGCCAGCAGAAGTAAACCATCCATGGCTGGATCACAAAATCAATAAAAAAAAAAGGAACAAAACCCGTGCCATATTTAAAGGATGACTACAATTTCAACTATTACTTTGATGACCCTTATGGTTTCTCTGAGAAACTATCCACTTGTTTGCTTATTTCGCAGAGTTCCACTCAATAATGTGTTCAATTAGATAGAAAGAAAGAGCTGAATTCTTGACTGGCAAAATTCCATAAGATCCTTGAAACTACTAAACATTAAAAAGAAAAGAAAAAACAAAAAGTCTTCTGCATATCATTAACCTGAATTCCCATTTCAGTTGATACAATTTATTAAGCATGTCAAAAGATCCTGGAACCAAATCAATTTGGATATTACTAGTACAGGTACTAAGTTGAGTAGCAAAAGCTCGTATGGCTGGACGGAAAACCATTTTAGTGAACATTGCAATTCATACTACGATGTTGTACCCAGAAACAAGCTGCTCATAGAAGTTGTTTTATGTGGCATCAAAGACTTCCGTAATAAATTGACATTGAAATCGATTGTATCAATTACCTGCCACAGATAACTGAGTTATGTCGATGGCACCAACACAGATCCATTTAGCAGTTTCAGTGCCAAAAGCTACTGGAAGTGACTGTAAGGTGTCACCACAAAAAGATTAGACAAGTACACGCACTCCTTTGTATATAGCAATATATAAGCGAAACTATCAAGTCAAATTTAGCAATAGAAAGAACCTGTAGCCCCATTTTCCTGTCTCCTTCAATGCTTTTGAAGTCATTTACAATTGCTATACCAAGCTAAAACATAAATACAGAAAGATAAAAAATGTAAATAGACTTGTATGCAACAAACATAAAGCATCGCTAAAATCTGAGGTGATGTCAACTTGAAGGTTCACTAGGGCATAAAGGATGTTAAATACCCCGGCAGTGCTATACAGCAGTGTTAGAACTATAATGTCAGGTGTAAGGGTCCCAAACAGAGCTTGACCAGCCCACCTGTCATTCAGAAGCAAGACAAAATGTTAAACAGGATATGATGAGCTTAGTCCACTTCATTTCACATATTATAGCCAAAAAAGAAATGTATTATATACATAGCATGCATTGATATTGCAGGATATTTCAGATAATTATCTTTTGAATCATTATGCAACAACATCATTCCACATTTTAACCATTGAATTCACCAGCTTTCACATTTTTATGTATAAAACTATCTAGAAAAATTTTAACACCAAATTTAAAGTAAATAATAAATATAATGAGTATCCAGAGTAGCTTGAAAAACAAGTCTTTCTCCTCAATTGGGCCTCGTGCATAATAGAAGTGAATGGCATAAAGTTCTTGCGAAAGGCAATCATCCAAAAGCATTTCAATTTTATATTCCCACTGCATTTAAGTAGCCCCTATAACATTGAATTATTGTTCATACAATTTATGCAAATTGAAGCTGAGTTGAGATGCCACACCAAGGCAAACTAATATAGCTTGCTCCCAAGGCAAAATTGCCAATCCATCCATTCTGTTTAAGCTGTGATACAGAAGAATAAGTTTCAGTTTTCAAACATTCATCTTTTTTCCAAAATTAAAGAAACCAAACCTTACATATTGGGTGCAAAAATGTGATGAACTACCTTTAGTGGTGGAGCTGAGTAAATATACGATAAAAAGGATCCACCGAGAGCGAGGTAAAATATCACTGGGAAATTATGCCCTGCCTATAATGTAAGAGAATTTAGGGCGAATTGTAACCATTCACTAGTGAAGAGATGGCATTTTTGAAGACCTACCCACACATCTAATAAACCAGCCAACCCGATACCTCCAAGAAGCAGCACCCAGATTTGTGTAATCACCTGGTAATATAAGTATTTAAAAATGAAGAAGTGTAGGAAACAAGGAGAATTTGATGATTAAGTGTATCCAAAATAACAGCCTGAAAATGTTATACCTCATTCTCAGAGATTGCGCCTGAAGGAATAGGACGATAAGGCTCATTAATGGCATCAATCTCTCTATCATACCAATCATTTATTGTCTGGAGAATAAACATATTAAGAGACAGCTCGAATTCTGAAGCACGTGCTGTTGTTGCAAAGCATCAACATTACATTAATGTGAGAAGTACCTGAGTGTAGCCAGTTAGAAAAGGGCCAGACATAAGCATACAAACAATTGATTTAGCTACATCTTCCAACGTCCAGTGGAAGTTCCCTGGGATAAAGCAGCAGACCGAAGAGGAAGTCAATGTATGTCTAGTAAAATAACAAAAATCCTTCACCACATTTATAAAGAAAAGACAGGAAAATCATGCTCATTTCTAACAAAGTCAAGATTTTATTTTGGGAATACAACTCAATTAGTAGATAATTTCATGATTTCAGGTAAATATAATAAAATAGAAGAAATGAAAACAAGGCAATCAATAAGCCTATTTTCCAGAGAAGATTATAATTGACCAGAGATTCTAAAATTTTGAAACACCACTAAATATAGATTGCGTCTTAACACACAATGCAGTATTGAATATAATCACAAAGTTACCACCTCAAAAGAAATATAATGGCAGAGATCATGAATTGGCATGAAAAATTTCCCTCTCATTAAGCAAACTACCTCAGAGCTCAAACTCCCAATTCAACAATGGGGATAGTGTAGTACTAAACCACCAGCCTTCAAATAACCGAACTTTTGGGACTGGTGATTGTTAGATTATGTACATGAAGGTCATTAAAATAATCACTTCTGGTCAAACATATTTTTTTATCCACACATTTCATAAAAATGAAATCTAATACCCACTTATTATCTACACAATATATATAGGACCCACAACTTATAATCACTTAAATTATATTTTAATCACCAACCAAAAATGAATTGTATGTTGATAATGTGTAATCACATGAAAGTGTATCTCCAGAAAGTACCAGATGCAGCAGCTCCACAAACCACACCCCACACAAGAGGCGGCCATGTAACAGGCTTTGTAAGTTGAACCCGGATTTTCCACTTATCCTGTTGAAAATGTCAAAGGGATCAAACTACTGTATTGCTATATGTACGGACAAAAGCTCTTCGGTATCCAAGAACTCTATTTCTCTAATTTATACTTTTTGTCATTATTCCATACAGTAATTATTTAATCATCATTGAAATTCAGATTAGTGTTCAACTAAAAAAAAAGCTCAAAAGCATCATGAGAAAACAATTGATAATAGACGAATCTTTCAAGATAGACTGGGGAATATCAGCTTAAGCCAGTACAAACAACATATACAAAGTTAAGCTCCATGTTTTCTCCTAAGCATGCAAACCTGTTACTTGCCTAGTTTTCTTCAAAAAGATTAAATGGTTTATGGATGAATTAGTCAAATGAACTCAAATGTGCTCTTTATAGTCAGTCCCTCTTAATGAGCTTTCGATGGCATGCACAATAATCCATACAAATAGCAGGAATAACTTTAACATTTGTGTCAAAATAAGTACTTATCTAACTTAGACTTTTAAACAATTTCAGCTTACAAAGAGCTAATAATTTATATGTTTTATATATTATTGGAGCAAATTGATGACTCACAGTTTCTTGTTTAGCTCCTTTGATACCAAGAATCTGATTAATGCTTGAACCACTCTCAGCCGGGGCCTTGTCTAGTGCCTTTGCTCTTACTGCACACATAACCCCAAAACCTCCTCAAAACCCAAACCTCAAATTCAACCAATTTTCCCATTTCTCCACACAAATAAACAAACTCATCATTCAAATCAACCATCAAAACCCAGCAAAAAAGTTTTTAAAAAAAAAACCATCAAACCTTCGTCTGTATCTGTTTCTGTAGATTTCACCACGAGCCTCCGTCCTGAGTCAATTCAATGCAAATAAATAAGATGGGAACATATGTAGAATTAAAGTAAACTACTTTTTAGAGGTTAGAAGAAATGGGTTACTGCCGAAAGAATGAGAAATTGGTGGGGCAGAAAGCTGTGGAGTTCGAAGCGGGTTGGACGATAAGCGGATTGAGTAGACAGAGTTTAGTACGGAAGCCATATCCAAAGCCTAGTGCTTAGTTTTGAAGGCCCGTTTTGGGATGACAACTCTATTTGTCTATCTCTGCGCGACTGTACAGTGTGCTTGTCGCCAAATTTATTGGCAAATTTAAGGAGCTTTTCTTTTTCTTATTTATCTTTATCTTTTTCTTTTTCTTTAGTTTTTATTATTTATTTCGTCTTTTTAACTACTGTCTACAACTATAACTCCCCAACAATAAAATGAAAGATTATTCAATCATTTATAATCTATAATATTTTAAATTGCATGCACCCACATAATTCAATCGTGATTTAGAGTGAATCTATATGAAGCAATAAATAAATTAATGAGAAGTTAATTCAATAAGTTTAGTGATTTTTTTTCCTATTATAAGGAGGAAAGAAGTTAAAATTCGTCTTTGTTGGAAATTTGAAAAGTGTGATTCCTAAGGGCATCTAGTTTCCTTCTTCCTATTCGTATTAGAGGAATCTTTCAAATGGTAGAGAGTAAGAAGTTAGGAAGATTGAGAGCTAGCAAACTAATGTCTTCTTTTAGGCATATTCAAATTTTCTTCTCATATTTTTAACTAAACACAAAATAAAACAAAAATACGATAAAATATTTTTTGTCCTTCATCTCAAATAATTGAGTCATAAATCATTATCG